CTCAGGGGCCAACATGGCCTAGAGCCAAAACTGATAGTTGAACTGATGGGCCAGCACTGGGTGGAGTAGAGACTGGAACCTGTCTAGCACAGGGCCTCAGGAAAGGCCAGTGGGCCAGGCCTGGCTATCCTAGGCCCAGAAGTGATGATAAAGATTGACTGGATTTCTTTGTACCCAGCTTGGTGACTGGAGCTGCCCTGGATCCTAAACTAAAATCTAGAACTGCATATTGTTTTATACTGCAACTAATTCAAGGCAAGGCATTTTACATCCATGTTCATTTTCAAACTGGTAGAGGCAAGGTAACATTACATCCAATAGGAATTCAATGAGAACTAGGCAGTACCTACAGCGTGCTCTCTCAGCTTCTTGAGGTAGCCAATCCTTGTACCTAAACTCATGTTTATTATTAAAAATACGAACATCTAATTTATTCTTAGGTCAAAAATAAAAAAGTTTTAGCCAAAAAACAATGGTTTACAAGAAAAAGACTAACCATTTCAAGAAATATTTTAGCTAGGGGCCAGTGGCTCATGCCTGTAATCCTAGCTACTCAGAAGGCTGAGATCTGAGGATCATGGTTCAAAGCCAGCCTAGGCAAAAAAGTCCTTGAGACTCTCTTATCTCCAATTAACTACCAGAAAACTGGAAGTAGCACTGTGGCCCAAGTGGTAGAGCACTAGCCTTGAGCTGAAGAGCTCAGGAACAGCGCCCAGGCCCAGAGTTCAAGAACCACGACTGACCAAAAAAAGAAAAAAGAAACTGGTGCCAGTGGCTTATACCTGTATCTTAGGTACTCAAGAGGCTGAGATGTAAGGATCCCAGTTTGAAGCTAGACCAGGCAGTAAAGGCTGTGAGGCCTACCTCCAATTAACTACCAGAAAGCCAGAAGTGGCACTGTAACTCAAAGTGGTATAGCTGGTGCTATATAAGAACTTGAGTGAAAGAACTTGAGTGAAAGTTTCACTTGAGTGAAAGAACTCACAGACAGCACCTAGGCCCTGAATTCAAGCTGAATAACTGACAAAAAAAAAAAAGATAAAATAAAAAAAATTGGCTTTAGTTCATTAAGTATAAGGTGCTTTTTTGTTTGTTTTGTTTTTTGTCAGTCACGGGGCTTGAACTCTGGGCCTGGGCACTGTCCCTCAGCTCTTCAGCTCAAGGCTAATGCTCTACCACTTGAGCCACAGTGCCCCTTCTGGGTTTCTGGTGGTTTATTAGAGATAAGAGTCTCACGGACTTTCTTGCTGGCTGACTTTGAACCATGATCCTCAGAGCTCAGCCTCCTAAGTAGCTAGGATTACAGGCATGAGCTACCAGTGCCCAGCTAGTATAAGGTATTTTGAAGTGGCATACATACTCATTTCTCTTATCATTTGGATAAAAATAGTGTTAGCTGAAAAATGGAAACGTTCAAGCTATTAATATATCTCTATCAGAATATTATTCATATATTCAGTTTTAACTTTTCATTCTTCCTAAAGTATATAAAATTAGTTTCTTTTTTTTGTCAGTCATGGGGCTTGAACTCTGGGCCTGGGCGCTGTTCCTCAGCTCTTCAGCTCAAGGTGAGCGCTCTACCACTTGAGCTACAGCGCCACTTCCGGTTTTCTGGTGGTTTATTGGAGATAGGAGTCTCACGGTCTTTCCTGCCCGGGCTGGCTTTGAACCGAGATCCTCAGATCTCAGCCTCCTGAGTAGCTAGGATTATAGGCGTGAGCCACCAGCGCCCGGCTAAAATTAGTTTCTTTGAGTCAATAAAGTACTTCATAGCAAAAAAGCTAACTACCTATATAACAATACAATAAAATTCAGGAAGCTGTTCAAAACCAGGTGGTCAAGGAATCGTCTCTGGACCACATAAATACCAGCTCACTTACCTCATTTGAACAGCACAGTACAAAGTGTTCACAATTAAGAAATCCGTAAGAGCAGAGCTGAGTTCCTCAAACTCATATATTGGAAGCCTTAACCCTAAGGCCTTTAAAGACTTAAGTTAAAATGAGGCATTTAGGGTGAGTCCCCATCCAATCTGACATCATTAAGAGGAGAATTTATGCCCTAATAAATATGGGGTACACACACCAGGAAAGATCATGAAAGAATATGCATCAATAAGACATTTCTCTAAACGTTATAGGAAACCAAACCTGCCAGCATCTCAGTCTCTAGAATTGGGAAAAATAAAAGTAGATAAGGTACTGTATATGATATTTTGTTATAGCAGCCTGAACAAATTAAGAAAGAAATGTATGCATCTCTAATGTATAGGTTATTACCACTAGTAAGATGATGAAGAATGATCAAGAATGAAGTGGTACTGCCTCCCTTTACCTTACAAAGGACTGCAAATATTGACTGTCAGGTACACTAATTTCTGAGATATGGCTATTTTTCTACAGATGAACATATGTATCTCTATCACTGAGTTAAATTACTACTCATTGCAGATATGTATAGTAACTTATTTAATCCATTACGTTGATGGCTATTTAGGCTATGCCTAAGTTTTAAGGGTTTCAAGTAAAACATTTTGAATCCAAGGACTTAGCATGCTAGACAAGTGCTCCACCACTTGATCCATGTCCCTAACCTTTTTGTTTTTACTTAGATATAGGATCTAACTTTGTCTCAAACTAACAATCCTTCTGCTTCCACCAACCAAAGATTCACAGAGATACCCAGTCTACAACAATGCTTTTAAGGAAAATTTCTGTATTAAAGAGTAGTTACACCAGGCACTGGTAGCTCACACCTGTAATCCTAGCTACTCAGGAGCCTGAGATCTGAGGATCATGGTTTGAAGCCAGCCCAGGCAAGAAAGTCTTCGAGACTCTTATCACCAATTAATCACCAGAAAACTAAGAGTCGAGCTGTGGCTCAAAGTGGTTAGCACTAGCCTTGAGCAAAAAAGGCTGCAGGACAGTGCCAGCCCCAGAGTTCAAGCCCCATGATTAACCAAAAAAAGAAAAAAAGAGTAATTATACTCATGTTTGGACACATTGCCAAACAAGTCACCAATTTCACCTCTAACAGTATTTGGAGCTGAGTAGTATTTGCCAAAATATCACTGATAGTTTGAAGAACAAACTTCTTTCGTGAGTTTTTTTTTTTTTTTTTTTTTGTAGGTCGTGGGGCTTGAACTCTGGGCTTGGGCGCTGTCCCTCAGCTCTTCAGCTCAAGGCAAGCGCTCTACCACTTGAGCTACAGCGCCACTTCCGGTTTTCTGGTGGTTTATTGGAGATAGGAGTCTCACGGTCTCTCCTGCCCGGGCTGGCTTTGAACCGCGATCCTCAGATCTCAGCCTCCTGAGTAGCTAGGATTACAGGCGTGAGCCACCAGCGCCTGGCTTCGTGAGTTTTTTATAGTTATTAACTATATTTTGTTTCTGGTGAGTACTTAAGAGTTAGGCCAAATGATTATAGAAAAATGTATGAAATTACATGTATATAAGATATTTTCATTTCTATAGACTTTCTAAAATTCCTAGGAATATTTTTGTTATTTTGTACCATCTATCTTGATTAGCTCAAGCATTCTAGTTTGTCTTCCTTGAGAGAAAAATTTTCATTTTATGGCATGGCATATAAAAACAGGAAGACTTCATCTATTACATCTAGAGAAAATACAGGAGTTCTTATCACTCTCATTTTTCAAGCTATACTCCAATTATAGAACAAAAAATACTCATGAAATAAAAACAGAAAACATTCAGAAAAAGGGAATGAAGTAAGGTATAACTTAGAAGGCAGCAAAGCAAGAGCCAGCATCCATAGGGGAATCTGTGTTTCTTACACAGGTACCACTTGATGACACCAAGTACTGATCAGTTTGTATGGACACTCTAAAAAGTTTCCTCATCTGAAAGGGCAGTTTAACTTTAAAGATCTATAAGCTAATTCCATATATGAGAATCTAAGAATTTTATAGATGAAAATTTTAACACTGTATTAATAAGGCATAGTGTGGTTCTATAATCCTTTAAGTCTTGTACTTGTGAAGCTGAAGTAGGAGGATTGAAAGTTATAGCCTGGGAGCTGTGCACCAGTGGCTCATACCTGTAATCCTAGCTACGCAGGAAGCTGCGATTTGAAGATACAGTTTGAAGCCAGCCGGGACAGAAAAGCCTCCATGAGACTCTTTTTCTTTTCCCCTTTTTTGAGACTCTTATCTCTAATTAACCACTCAAAAATTGGAAGCGGCACTGTGGCTCAATTGGTAGAGCACTAGCCTTAAGCACAAAGAGGCTCAGGGACAGCACCCAGGCCCTGAGTCAAGCCCCACAACCAACCAAAAACAAAAACAAAAAAAAAAGAAAAGCTATAGCCTGGATTATATAACAAGTGCCAGGCCAGTCTCAGCTATAGAGAGAGACTCTTGTGACAAAACAAAACAAAACAAAACCATGCCAGATAAAATTATCAATAAAACTAATAACTAAGTTTTAAAACAAGATTGCTTCAATTTTCTCTCAAAAGTAATGAGTTTCTTTTTTTCCTTAATACCAATAGCTCATAAAAAAGTAAATATGGTATCACTGAAAAAGTTCTGAACCGTAGTGTCCATTTATGCTCCTGCAGTTCAAAGGCTATTATGTTTTAATTCATGCATTTTTATCCTTTCCCCTTAAGTGACTTGCAAGGAAATATTAACTTAATACATAGTTCTCTATTGTCACTTAATACATCTTACTGAAACTATTTTTCTAAGAAGGATAAAAACAAAAACAGCTAGTTCTTATAACAACACACTACTTGGGCAAGAATCTTGTTGTAATTGTTTCCTATTTAATCACCCCAAATGATCAAAATTCTGCTGTCAGAGGTACAGCCATCAGAGACAATTCAGTGCTTCTGTTTACAAAACCCGTATCAAATCCTGGCTTTCCTCCCTGGCATTTATCTATAATAAAGTGACAAAAATGTTACTGATAAAAATGCTTTTCTTTTATGAGACAGCCTCATAGCTGGTGACTGCTGGTCTCAGTTCCTTGCACTCACCAGGGAGGGAAGATATGGATGATGTCCTTAGGGTGTCCTCGGAGGTGTCCTGCCATCTCCCGGGTGAAGAGAACCTTCAGGCAAGCTCCAGGCCTTGGGGTCCCACTGTGGGTAGGGCTGGTGGCTGGTGGGCCCACTAACTGCTCACACATGGCAACTTGCATGGTGCATTCCTCATGTAGCTCTAGAATCTTTACAATTAATACACCAGATTGTCCACCTAAAAGTTGAAGAATAAGAGTAAAAATAAAGTACATGGTTCATGCATGAATAGAGTGCCATTATAAAAAATAATCCACTCTGAGATGGTTTTCTGTACCTGGAGAAAGTATTCTACACATTTTGCAAAGTAAAAGACTCCTGTTCACTACAATATCATCAAAATGGCTATGTTATGTTGTCATATATAAATATTATATATATATATACATAAAATACAAAAGTATGGTAGACTTTTATCAGTCTTGTGCATATAGAAAACACAGCTTCATTACTTCAGAGTATTTTTTTTTCTTTTTGTGTGTTTTGGGGCTTGAACTTGGGGGGGTACTCTCCCTGGGCTTCTTTGTGCTCAAGGCTAGCACTTTATCACTTGAGCCACAGCTACATTTCTGGTTTTTGAGTGGTTAACTAGAGATAAGAGTTACATGGGGACTTTTCTGCCTGGGATTGCTTCCAACTGTGAACCTCAGATCTCAGCCTCCAAAGCAGCTAGGATTACAGGTATGAGCCACTGGTGCCTGGCCAGAGTGTTTTTATTCACAAATCTGAACCCCTTTGATGACCACAACAAAGGGAATACAGCTACTCTCTGGTTCTTTTTCACACTGCCCACTGCCCTTCTCATTGTCTGCTTTGATTCTAATGTCATGTATATTACTGGGTGGTTGCAAATGTTCTAATGAGCATCAAAGTTAAAATTTTAGGACTTATAAGGACTGCTGGGTGATAGGGCTCTGGATTTAAATGGATGGAATTTGACTTGGATTCAGGTAGTGACTGTTTTAGTAAAGCATTTCAAACACTCAATTTTTCTCAGATCTGAAATAAAGATCATGTTCTAGTTTATATTTGTGAGAATTAAAGGAGATACATGAAGTTCAGTGGTGTGATATAGCCCAAGTGGTCCTAGGTGTCATCTGGAGACTGTCACATGTACCAAGGAACCTAAACCAGGATATAAATTTGAATATGGCTGTAAGGGCAGAAAAAAAGGATCAGTATAAATGAGGAGGATGGAGTATTCACACCACACTGCAGTATTCAGCCCTTCTAGCAAATAGACAGATCTACAGTTATTAGCTGTGACATCTCAAAAACAAGGTAGAATAAATAAGATACACAGTTTATTATGCCTATAATTTTTTAAAAAACTACAGAAACTAACATGATATTGTTTACTCAAGTACAAAAATACAGTGGGCTGTTGACGTTAATTTAGTGGCAAAGCACGGAGCTTCACCTAGCATGTGTGATACCCTGAATGATTTAATCACTAGCACGGAATATGGGAGTAAGGGGCTGGGAGATCTCACAACATATGGTACACCATACAACTAACAAAAATAAAAAAAATCTTCCTAATTCTTTAATTTTTTGTGGCAGCTGGAACTTGGAGCATCAGCTACTCAGGAGATGGAGTAGGAAAACTGTGAATTTTATCCTTGACTGAGCAACATAGGCAACAGAGGAGAAAGAAGAGGGCAGAGGGAGAAGAAAGAAGGGAGAAGAGAGAAGAGAGAAGGGAGAAGGGAGGGGAGAGAGACCTTATCTCAATAGGAATGAATGAACAAACAAATAAACTAATGAATAAAAGAACGAGAGAAACATGAAAACACAGAGTAGGACACAAAAAGAAGTTATGATTGCTACTGTCTCTGAGGAGAAAGAGAAAATCAGGAGGGGAGCCAGAGGACTTTAAATTTACCTATCTTAATTCTTTTGTCATACCGTTTTTAATCATAAAAATGTGTGAAGCATAGAAGACAAAAAAACTAACAATATATTATTGATTCTAGCTGAAGAATACACTTTTTCTATTATCCTATGTTTTTAATTGTATGTGTGAGTGTGTTAGTCCTGGGGTTTTAACTCAGGACCTGAGTGTTGTCCCTGTGATTTTCTGCTGAAGGCTGGCACTTTCCTACTTGAACCACAACTCACTTCTAGCCTTTTGGTGGTTAATTGGGAACAAAAAACTCATGGACTTTCCTGACCAGGCTGTCTACAAACCACAATCCTTAGGTCTTAGCCTCCAATCTCAGCTTAGATCTCAATCTCCTAGAATTACAGGTATGAAACACTGACATTTGGCTTTTTAAAAAAAAATTAAAAGTAAGTTTCTCCTCCACTGTAGCCAATAGTTAAAAGCAAAATAAAACCCTGTTATTTAGTTTATATTATATAGGTTAATTTTGTTTCTTTCTCCTTCTCACTTATACTTCATTTTCACTGAACTTCAAACTTCCTCCTTTCTTTTGTCTAAGTATTTTCAGCACAGGTCTATATACCAAACTAGGCTATTCATCTCCCCAAAGTGCTATCCTAGAAATGACCATTTCCAAAGGTTTGCACCTGTCTTGCTGCACTTTCTTGAGGAGAGGAAGAAAATGGAGTGGGGAAGGAGACTAAGAGCCACAGTGGGAAGCTGCTGCTAGTCACCAGAGAGTGAAAATAGAAAGAGGAAGAACAAGCATTTAAGGACAGGCACTGACTAAAGTGCCATGCCACAACAGATGTGTGTTTGATGAAAAGGAGCTGCTTTTCAATGGTGGATAGGAAAGTTAGGATCACACAGAGGTCATTTGAGTCCATATACTTTTTCCTGGGCAGGGCAACTAGATCAGAAAGTGGAGCATTTGGTCTTCAGGGGAGCAAGAACAGGAGGTAGGACATTTGGGATTCAGAAGCAAAGAGTTGAAGTGCAAAATATAGGGGCTGCTGCGACCATAGAAGCACTATGGGCATATTTTCGGAATCGTTAAAATGTGCACTTGCACTAGGGGCTCATCCCAACACTATGGTAGGCCAGCTATCTGCCTGTTATTCTTCTAACAACAAGTACTGGTTAGGGTTCTATGGCCACCTGCATTCTTGAGCACCTGCCCAGGCTCTTGGTCCTGTGATGCAGTATTTGCTAAGCAGATCCAAGGCATGATAATCACTTGCCAAGTAGCAAGAGTCCACTCTACTTATACTAACTGTCATGGGCAGCTTGGTTGGAAAGCCTGACAGTTTATTAAAGAAACATATGAATAGCATTAACAAAAATACCTTCGTATAGCTAAGATGAACTACATTGACATTGACTGTGATTTCTTTGAAGCCTGTTACAGTAAATCCTGACAACATCCCCCAAACTATGAATTCTGCTCAAGCTGGGTAACACCAAATACCTTGTATCATAAACAAGTTATTTTATCATGTTGACTATCATAATGCTTTATATTCCAACTTGGTTGGTGACTTAAGCAGGTATGGGAAACTGTGATGAATGACTTTCATTAAGAACCCAGCACTGAGAAGTTGAAAACCATCTATTCTTTCCTCCAGGCAGGTTAAATTCCAGACCCCCGAAAAGAGAGCAATAGGATTTACCAAAAGAAAATGAATCAGTGTTAAGTTTTCCTTTTGCTTAAAGGAGAAAAAAAAAAGCAAAAGTAATCTATGCCAAATTATGTGCATGAGGCATACTTCCAATCCAAGCACAAGAGATAGTCACTTGACAAAGAAAACTGTTTTGCAATTAAATGAATGGTACATACAAGGCCATTTCTATGCCATCAGAGCAGCATTTTCCATAAACACTGCAAGACTTAGCCAAAATATCACTTCATCCAGTAAGTATTCCCTGAATCCTAGCCAGAAACAATTTCTTCCTTTTACATCCTCAAATACCTTATCTATATTTTTCTTCCTAAGAACAGGAACTTAATTTTCAAAACAACAGAGTATGAGCTGCCCCTAAAAGCACAGAAATCCAGGAAATAATTCAGAAAACATATTGCACCTTGCCTGGATCAGTACACAAGCAATAAGAGTAGCCATTGTCATGATCATCAGCTTTTCAGGTTGACTTTTCTTACATCATCTACAAGAACCAATTTAAGAGATAATGAAGACAGAGTACACAAGATGGTGATGGAACAATAAGGAAACATCACAGCTCTCTTCAACCAAATAGAGTTTGAGTTCCAATGCTGAGTGTCCCCAAGAGACTGACGACAGCAAAAACACAAACAACCAGAGAAATACAGGAAGTGAAAAAAAGAAAAGAAAAAAACTTCAGAACCTACAAAAAGACAGAAAAGTACAAAGACCCTTCCCTCACCCACCTGGCAACATGGCTCTGTACCAAGCTACCAACGTGGTCCAGCCCACGGCTGCCGGGGACCCCAGAGCCACAGCAGTCCACAGAATGCCAGCACAGAGGCCTCCCATGGCCCCAGACCATGGAAACAGAAACCTTGGAGCTCAGAACCTGCACAAAGACCCTTCCTCCACCTCTTGCCAGGGGGTGGCTCCATGCCACAAAGAGCCTCCAGAAACCCCAGAGCCACAGCAGTCCACAGAATGACAGCACAGAAGACATCCATGGTACTGGTGTTAACTCGGCGAGTGCAAACAGAGCCAGAAACCTCGGAGCTCAGAATCTGCATGAAGACCCTTCCCTCACCCCTTCCATGCAAAGGTGCCAAAGCAGTCCGGCCTGCGGCCACCGGGGACCCAAAAATCACAGTGTCTGTAGAACGCCAGCACAGAAAAAGCCCACAGCGCCAGACCCAGACCAAGCACACAGAGACAGAGACCATGAAACCCAGACCTGGAGCCCCCACCACTACTGGGCCCAGCCCATAATCATCAATGGAATGTGGAACGCGGTGGCAACCAGTGGCTTACAGAGCACAGAAAGTGATCTCCCATAGCACCACTGGACAGCCCCCAACCAGTTCCAGGATAAGTGAGTACACCAAGGAGTATACCTATTCTCCCCCCCCTCCCCGCCCCCCTTCCCCCCACCCCGTCACAGGAGACCAGTGCTGGCAGTAACCCCCAGAACTTGACCCAGACCTCTTCTACCACCTGGGCTATTGGTCCCACTGAAGCCAGGAATTGTGCAAGCACCCAAGCAACCCACACCCAACCCACAGGCTCGACCAATAGCACCCCTTGGAGGGAGCTCGAACATGGCTGGAGTCGGGAAATGGACCCATGGGCCAG